ACGTTTTTTTTTTTTTCGTCTAATGTTGCGTATCAATGACGCAAAAACCAACAGCATTTTGATTGAATGTTGTCATTTTTGAGCCGAAATCACGCTTATGAATGACAGACATAATTGTAAACACTCGTCATTCGTCATTCGATTTTCTTGTTCAGTGTGAACCTCTACAACCATTTGCTGGTACGTATGGAACTATTGGGAAAATTCAATAGCCTTATTCATCTTACGTTTCGACTTTTTTTTGGCTTTATTACCATTGTGTTATTATGATATACTTCTAAAATGGTTATGATTTAAGAACCTTTCACCAAGATATTCAAAATTGTGACAAAGTCGTGGAATCTTGACCAACTTTTGGGTTTTGAGTCTTCAAGTGTCAATAAAAAAAAAACCATAAAAATGTGCTCTTGAAAATGAGTAAATTGTTTATTGCAACATTTATTACTTGGTATTACTCTGGAGTTGGATGCGATGGCAGTACAAAGAGAGAACTGAGATCAATAGAATTCTTTGAAATTGACCAAAACTGTCCAAAACGGGGAATTGATGGCGCTACGTCATGGAACACCTCGTAAAAATATCCTTTTAATTTCATAATAGTAAATAAATTGGACTGTTATTGTTTTTCAAAGAGACATTTTTATTATCTAAGCGTTGAAAACGAACTTTGTTCAACGAATGATTTGCAATAAAAGAATAAGGATTATATTTCATTGGAGATTGTGTGAAGAAAAAACTTGAAGTAGAGCAGGATTGCTTTGTTCACTTTGTAAACAGATTTTACTTTTTTTTAAATAGAGCAAATGTAAGTGAAAAAAAAAGTTTGCCCAAAATGAGTTCAAAATTTGAACATATGTTGTAACCAATTTCGATGCTGACAAATTGCCCGGATACTCGGACACAGACGCAATAGACCTCCATAGATCAATTCGAATGTGTGGTGATGTAACTATAACCTTTTTTTTTGTGAATGGTACGGTCGTAAAACTGTCTCCATTGTAGGAATTGTGTCGCGACAATTTATTATTTATGTGTGTCGTCGTAGGAGTCGACTGAACCAAACGAACACAATTTTATGAATTTGCTTATAATTTTTAGCCATGATCATTTTTTTTTTGGAAAATTCTTGATTTTATCAATACAACCTGAAGTACTTATAGTAGTTTAATTGAGAGGTGTTTGAGATTTGATTATATTGGGGTTCTAAAGTATTATCTTTATTTTGGTTATCGAAGAAATTACACAAAACGTGCATTGCATCACGTGCAGCATAAATCACAAAACCTGCAGCATAAATCACAATCTAAAAATTTGAATTAACTTGCCATCATTATGTTAGTTTAAAGAAATTCACTTATAAAAAAATCGACAAATTTTTAAAAAATGAACAAATGTCATAACGGCCAGAGAAATGAAAAGAAGTAAAACGTAACACAGAAATCAAGCGTAAGTTATAAAATTGAATCTTACAGTATGTAAAGAAGTAAGCAATAAACTCTTTAAATTGGTAAACACCTACTTTATCGCGTTTTATTTCTATTGGATGTATAAATGTAGAAACGAAAAAGAAAGGACGACCAATTCACTTATCTAAATATGTAAAATAAGCAGATGGCCTATAAAATTCATTGTGTAATGCTTTTGCTTGCGAGAACCCGATCAAATTTATACTTATAACTCTATGCTGTACCTTTTACAGTTAAAAGCATTTATGAATGTTGCAATATCTTTCAATAGATGTCGTTGTTTTCAAAGTAGCACCCTAAATAGAGTTATTACTTCGCAAGTGGAGGCAACCACACCCATTTTTATTAGAATTTTCTTTGTTTTCAATTGGAAACCAGCAGATGTCACTGCAATCTTTAAAAAATT